TAAATGCAGTACATAGAAGTCTAGCTGTCTACTTTCTCAATTTCAGTGAAAAGCTGAAAACCGTACCCGTTCTACCTCTGTAACAATTGCTTTTGGGTTCAAAAGAGAAGATAATAGGAAAAACTTTGTATTTTATCATTGTTAATTGGTTTATCAGAATTAAACACTTCTCAACTCAGGAATTTCAGAATACTATTAATAAATCAAAAAGTATAATTCTTTTAGGGTTATATATGCAATAATCTAGAGAGTTTAGATAGGTCTGTATATACATAAGAAAAACTCATGACTACAAAAGAGCATTTAAATCTTCCCTTTCATATCAGTTTATATTTCAAATTCCTTAAAGCTTCCAACCATATGATTTATCACTCAAACCAGTACATTTCAAAGAGTAAAGGGAAGCTCTATTAATAATTAAACTAAAACAACAGGCATTAACCAGGATTCCCGTTGGCAAGCCAGGGCATATGGTCACTTACATAAGAAGCGTTATAGATGGGGGAAGGGGAAACCTATCTACTTCAGCCTAAGTATGCTAAATAGTCTACAAAAACACTCACCAAGGGTAAAGTTGGCAAGCCAGGGCATATGGTCACTTACATAAGAAGCGTTATAGATGGGGGAAGGGGGAAACCTATCTACTTCAGCCTAAGTATGCTAAATAGTCTACAAAAACACTCACCAAGGGTATGAAATAAATTAAAACATTATTCACTATAAATTTTTAATATTTCTGATAATTTAAATAAAATTGAAAATGTACTGACTAAAGTGCTGTCTCTTTTAAGGAGGTAAAAAAATTTTTTTTCTGGTACACTGGGAATCAAACTCAGGACTTTAGGCTTGCAAGGCAGGAATGGTGCCACTGACCTAAATCCCTGGCCCCTTAGGAGCTAAATTTTTAAGAGTATTTTTTAAATGGTATGTATGTATGGGGTACAGTGCGATGATTTAAGACATGTATATAATTTGTGATGATCAAATTGGAGTAATTAGCATTTCCATCTCCTTAAACATTTGTCCTTTGTGCTGGGAACCTTCAAATTCCTTTCTTCTAGTTTTTTTGTTGTAAATTCTTGAATTTATAACTAGAAAAATAACTATTAAAGTTTCTTTACCCTTACACTATCATATAGAGTAGGAAAAGCAAAAAGCCAAAATTAAAAAATGTCTACTTTTCTCAAGCATAATGAGAGTAGGGAAAGAATGAAAAACACCAAAGAGAGACAGTGTCTGAAATTCTATAATTTGGGAGACATAAATATATTAAAGATCACTATTTGTGAGCAGAGAACAAATTCATCAATTGCTACATAGAAAAATTACCTCTTAAGACATGAATCACTATATGTTTTTTTTCCTTTTTCGATTGTTGAACCCAGGCCCTCACACTTGCTAGGTAGGTAGTCTACCATGAGCCTCATTCCATGGACCAATGTTTTTTTGTTTGTTTTTTTTTGAAGGGGTTAAAGCAATGAATAGCAAATGTGATTGCTCTTGTGAACCTAACCAGCAATGTTTTAGTGTCATATTCCTATTGTCAGTGACTTGTTCCTATAGTTAGCCCTTCATAATATTTGCCATTTACTCTACTGTAAACAAATATTATTTCCACAGCTTCCATCATGATAGAATTATATATATGTACACAGGACAATGCAGTATAACACTTTAATTACTGGATAAAAATGCAAAGACTCATTTTTCAAGATTCCCAAAATAAAATTAACTTTTCTACTCTCCAGTCCTGGTGACCACTCTTTAAGTTATTTTAACATCTCTCTGACAGTTAAATTCTCAGGTTCTTTTAAATGCTAGTATTAAAAGGCTTAAGGGTGAACTGACCACCTAACAGAATTCTGGGCCTTCATAAACATAAGAGTATGCAAAGATATGAAATACCACTGAAACAAGGTTTGCATTGTAAAGAGATGACTTGGAAGAAGTAGCTATCCCTATCCATTAATGATAAGTCATTTTGCCAGTAACAGATTAGTGACATTCTTAGTCCATTATCACTTAAACCTTGGCAACTCTGAGTCGTTTGTTTTGTGGTAGCAGAGATTAAACCCAGGGCCTTCACATTGAGCTACATCCTCAGTCCTCTTGAGACAGGGTCTTGTTACATTACCTAGATTGGGCTCAGACTTATGACAGCTCCTGCCTCTCCCACTCAGAGTGCTAGGATTACATGGTATGCCCCATGCCTAGCCGCTACTATAAATTAAACTCTGTATTTGAACTTTCTTCATCAAACATGAGACAGTCCCTAAATTGAGTAAATTATATATCCACTAAACCTCTGCCCATTATTAGTATAAACTGAAGTAGCTCCGTGAAAGCTGTTTAATAAAATGAAACTATTTTAATAGTTTGTAAAGGGAAATGAAATTAAGTCCAGTGTAGCTATAGCTATATAGTTTATCAAAATAGTTAAAGCTTCTTAATCTAAATTGAAAACTGGCCAGATTACACAAGGCTATTCTTTCTAGTTGAAAAGCAATGTATAATGTTTAATATGTTATATTAACCAATTAAATGAACACCTAAGATAACATCAGATACCCTCCATGAATGCTAACTACACCTTTTAAAATAATTGTAAAACTGCTCAACCCAACTGGAATCCTGGCACAAACAAATCATAAATGAAGCATTTTGGCACTTGGAGTAAGATCACTGTATACTCCCACCCACAGATACCATGTACTAATTACTATAAACAATTTTTAAAAAAATTGAATCAAGCATTGACTTAAGTTGGTAAAAATATTGACAGCTATCATAATTTTCTTTTGCCTTAAAGCTTCTTCTATTTCTTATCTCACAAACAAGGTTTGTGGTGTTCTTAAAATAGTTCTGACTCAGGTATGACAGCTCACTTCAATTTACCAGTATTGTGTATTCATGTTAGAGGGGCTGGAACGCATTACCTAAATAGTAATAATGGTTTTAATCACTTATTTTGTTTTGATCCTGGAGATACAGGCACTCAATGTTGAGGAAGGAGAGAAACTGATACAGGGAATGAAGAGAGATGGGAAATGCCTCACACAAATAGCAAAAATGTTAGACTGAGAATCAGATACTGTGTCCTACTCCCAGCTCCATCTTGGTTCTTTAGGTAAACCACATGACCTCATTGATTCACTCAACCCTCATTTGAGGCCTCTACTATCTATCCAATATATAGCTACTAGCCACATACACCCTTGAACACACAAAATATAGCTTATCCAACTTGATATGTACCATAAAGGTAAAAATATACTTTGGACTTCAAAAACTTAGTATGAAAAGAATGTAAAAAGTCCCAATTTTTAATTGAATGCTAAAATATTTTAGATAAATTGGATTAAATATGATATATTATTAATGTCACCTCCAGAGTTTTTAACTTTTTAAGATGTGATTATTAGAAAATTTTTAATTTTACAGCGTTATAGAATTAGCACTATGCTTAGCACTATGCTGAGACTTTCTGGTAAGAAGTAGGAAAACTCATAATATAAAAAGTACAGTCTGTAACATCAAAGAAGCCACAGTTGGAGAAGAGAAAAATTGAAAATACTTATAACATAATGGTATCGAGTGCACTGATAAAGATGTATTTACGTGTACTGAAGACTGAAGAGGGCCATTGGTGGAAGCTGGTAGGAAGGGGTAGTGAAGAGAGGAGGTTAGTCTACAGCAAGTGAATTGGTACTACCTGAACTGAATCTGTAAGAAGCAGGAACATGGGGAAAGGTTCGGATGAGTCAAGACAAAGAAACAGTAAAGAGGAATAGAGAAGAGTAAAAGGGTTTTTCTGTTGACAAAGGGAAAGGGAAAGGTGTGTAGTGGAAAGTATGCAAGGCACAGTGGCTTTTGTGATGTCCTAAAGGGACAGAATTTTAACCTTCTGGCAATAGTGAAGGGGTAAGCAAAAGGTGCTTAGGTCTCAGCAGCTGTGTGGGGACTCAGTAGAGGTGAACAAAACTGGAAGCAGGAAGGCTGCCCATCAGGGAACAAATAGGGCCCAAACTAGGGCAAAAAGAATGGGAGTAGAAAGTAGAATTCAGAATTATATTTAAAAAGTAAATCAGTAAACTATGGTCTTGTCCAGACTCTGGGGAGTTCCAAGGGGGACTGAACCCAGGGCCTTCAAACTAAGCTACATTCTCACACCTTTTTAAAATTTTGAGGCAGGGTCTTGCTAAATTGCTGGGCAGGGACATCTTGTTTCAGCCTCCCAGAGTGTTGGGATTATAGACATGTACCACCATGGGCTTTTAAAAAATATTTTTTTTATTAGTACATGATTGCAAGACACAATGATTACATTCCTGTGGGAAGTTGGTACATGTACACAACACATATTATTTTTACTTCCCTTCTCCTTTCTCCTCCCATCATGTCTTGGTCCCTTTCCCATATGCAAAAGATCTATCTTCCTATATCCTATTGTCTATCTTTATTTTGCTATAATTTATTTATACTTTGGGTTGCTCACACAAGCAAAGCCTTGTGATATTTATGATTAAGTGTCTGATTTATTTCACTTAACATTACGGTTTTAAGGCACACCTGTTTTCCTACAAATGACTCAATTTAATCCTTCTTTATAGCACCGTGGTACTCCACTGTGTATAAATACCACATTTTTATTCATTCATCTGTTGATGGACATGTGGGCTGCTTCCAAGATTTAGTTATGAGTTGTGCTGCTATTCTAAGGCGAAGAAAAGACCATGGAGAATTTCTGGCAGATTTTTAAAGGGTCATTTTAACTGCCACTGAAGTCTATAATGTAGGGGGAGAGTCTGAGGGGAAAAGTAACTGATTTAAAATGTTAAAGAAACCAAGATTATACCTCCTATACCTATAGAAGAGGTTGCTGGTGGCTTAGACCAAGGTGGATGAAAAGGAGGTGGTGAGCAGCAAATGGATTCAGATGTTTTGTTTTTGGTTTTTAAAGACATGGTCTTGCAATTAGTTCAGGCTGGCCTTTAACTTACTATACAGTGGAGATCCTCTTGCCTCCGCCTCCCAAGTGTTGGAGTTACAGGGGTGTGCCACCACTCTGAGGTCAGGTTGTAGTTTTAACTGGAATGTAGTATTGGCTAATTCATGGGGTTGAAAGGAAAAAGGAAATTTAGGAAGATATCATCAGCTGAGCTTAATTGTTGGGTTTAGACTACACTAGATTTTTGGTTGAAAGTGAAAATGCTATACAAAAAGCCTTGAAAAAATAGTAAAGATCAAAGAAAACAGGAGCTGAGCAAAGGTTTTTTCTCCCCCCAGCATTAATGAATGCCCTGGAACAACACCTAAGTAATTTTAGTGTTATCAGCCTAATCTGACACGGTATTTTATTTTCTCTTCACAACATTCAGTTACTGAATAGGAGGAATGAAGCATAGACTACATTCAACAGTTTCACGTGTAATACCACTTGAGTTAGATGATGTTAGCATCTATATGAGTTACAAAATTCTAATTTTGAGACTCCTGGAGTTTTGCAGCTACCACACAGTTTTAAAAAATACTGTGATTAAATATACATAATGTAGATTTTACCATTTTAACCATTTCACCATTCAATTTTTAAATCAAGCATCCAAATAGGGACTTTACTCCATTTTAGGAACACTGAGACATTAAATTCCCAGGCCTGAAGATGGTTGCACTGACCCTCGGGTGGCAAATGTCGTGACTTCTGTTACCTCTGAATGGAAACAGCTTTATTCCTTCATCACAATATGTAAAACAAGTACAGATGCTCCTTAACTTATGATGAGCTTATGTCTCGATGAAAATGCATTTAAAGCACTGCAGTGCACATTTATAATCCCAGCCTCCTTGGAGGCTAGGACGGGAAGATGGCAAAACTAAGCCCAGCCTAGACAAAACAGTGAGAACATGTCTCAAAATAAAAAACAAATAAATAAAAACAGCTGAGGATTCAGTGTTAAGGTCTTGGGTTAGGTCACCAGTACCACCAAAGGAAAAACAACTCACCTACCAAACATCCCTGGAGTGTTGGCTGCTTGTCCTCATGCTCAAGGCCACCGCCCAGTATCGAGAGAGGATTACACTGCATATTGCTACTGCAGGAAAAGATCAAAATTTGAAGTACAGTTCCTATTGAATGCCTATCACTTTCATTCCATTCTAAAGTCAAAAAAATACTAAATTGAGGATTCCATTCATTTTTCTAAGTACCAAAATGAAAAAGTCTGGAAATACTGCACTAGGTCATAAAATATAACAATCCTAATCAAATGAAGAGTTCAAAGTAACTGCTTCTTCGATAAAATTGTTTTCTCAGCAGGTAATTTGGGAACTTCATAACCTATCTCATCATGGTAGTTCTTAAAGCTCATTATGAGTAAATTTTTACCTATGGGTATGTTCACCATTTCCATAGTTAAAATGTCTATTATAAAAATCTCATAAAGTAAATCTAAGATTTTTTAAACTAACCCACAGGTATCCACCTTCATAAAAAAAAAAAAAAGGAATCCATCAAGGTAAGCCCAATTCACTCATCAAGAGCACTGATTCTGTTGCAAGCAATGGGTTAAGTTTTAGAGATAGAGGTAAATATAACATGGTCGTTGATCAAATAAAGTTTAGAGGAGACAATTGTAAAAATTTCTTGGAAATACTAGTAACAGCTAGCTTTTATTGCAAATACACTATATAATCTGAATACCTTACTATGAGGTTTACATATATTACTTAATATTCATACTGTGTGAGATTAGTACCAGTATTACTATCCTCATTTTACAGACAGGAAAAATGAGTCAGATTAAATAACCAGTCCAAGGTCACTCAGAAAGTATTAGAGAAGGAGTGAAATCCAGGAGGTGCGGCTCTAGATCCTGTATCTTACTAAAAGATAAGTACTACATGTATACAATTTGAAATTAAATATATACATAGATTGGGGATTGATGCTCAAAAATTTCCCTGAACGCCAAAGAAGAGAGAGATTTAGGTTAGCTGGTTGGTTGAGTAAACGTGGAAAGTAGATCAGCAGCAGATCAGGTAAAAGACAATGCCATCTTGGATTATGCAGGTGGTGATACAGGGGATGGATTTGAAAGTTTGGTAAGTAAAACTGATAGGGCCTGGTGATGGATTGGACATGGGGACTAAGGAAGAAGAAAGTGTCCAGGATGATTCTTTGGATTCTGATTTGAATAAATGGATTAGATCGTGAGCCATTGGCAGAGGCCATAGGAACAGGTTATGTCACTACTGAGTTTTTCTTTGGATCACAAGTACCCTGTTAATATGGGACTGACTGACAAACTGATCTGAGGCAGGAGGATCAGTGAGAGTTCGAGGCCAGCCTCAACTACATAGCAAGACACTGTCTCAAAAAACAAACAAAAAACTAAACAAAAAATGGAAAGTTAAAAATGAGCTGGTGTGGGAATGGACACAGATTAGTTTGATACACTTTGGGCCCCAAAGCTGTTATCTACGGTTTAGCGCTGTGATCTTATTGGATTGGCTTTAAAACTGTATTTCAACATTATTTTGCTCAAGTTAATGTTTGAAATGAGAAGGAATCGGAAATAAGCAGCATTATTTGTTGTGGTAATACGCTGTTAGGGTAATTTTTTTAAGTCATACTGCGACTGTTGGACAATTCCAATTGATGGTACATCTTCCTATTTACCTGGATTTCTGAAGGAAGCACTGACCCCACCCACAACCCAGGGGCGCTCTAACACTGAACTACATCCTCATCCTTTTAGAAGTTTTGATAGAATCTCCCTAAATTGCCAATACTGGCTTCAAATTCGCTTTCCTTCTACCTCAGCCTTCTGAGTGTTGAGATTACAGGCGTGCACCACCCCGCCCGCCTTCCGTTTTTTAACTCTTCATTTGGTGCACATAAGGTCACTCACACACACGGTTGCCCTGAAGGGTGCTTCAGGCAGACACAGTGAACGTTCACGTAATACCAAGGACTTAGGACTTCTCGGCAGACCGGCTTGAGTTTCTTTCAGGACATCTCAAAATCGCAGCGGTGGTCGCCAGGCCGCCCGCGCAACTCCGACGTCTAGGAGATCCGTCCTACGCTCTTCTCAGGCTCCGCAGCAGAAGGGGCGTGGTGCGGGAGCGCCGGCGTGACGTCACATGACGTTGGGGGCTCCCGCGCCGGCCGGCTGACCTCCGGCCCTTCCTCCGCCAGCGGGAAGCGCCGACCGCCTCCGCATAGGTTTTGGCAGTCAGCTGAGGGAAAGGGGAAAAAGAGAAGAACGGCGAGCTGCAGTCCCTTCAACCCCGGCGGATGTGCGCTTCCCTGCTGGGGTTCTAGAGAATTTAAGGCAGTCCTGGAATCTGTGAGAGGATCTCCTTTCCCTCCCGGAGCGCGGGTCCTGGCGGGTACTTCCGGTGTGGAGCTTCGCGCTCAGCTGAGGGGTATGGCTTGGGCTTGGGGGAGGGGAGACCCGAAGTACCTCAGCGGAAGCGCAGCGCGCTAGCGTTCCTGCATTTCTGAGTCTCCAGCGCGGGCTGGGGACGCGCCTCCTTGCGCATGCGCCCACCGCGTACCGTGCGTTTCCCGCTCGCTTTTGCGGCTTTTGCACCCAAGGAGAGACTGAGAGACAAAGTCGCAGTGAGGTCGCTGCTCGTGAGAGGGCAGTTCCCTTTGCCTCCGCGGTAGTGCGGTGTGACAGTCCCTCACTGGCGGAGGGATGCGCAGCAGTGGGTCACCTCAGCCTTGCAGACCGAGGTGCAGCAGAGAGGCAGGAAGTCCAAACTGAGGGGAGGCAGGAAGTGCGAGCTCAGGGATAAAGGCTCAGGGCCGGGCAGTGAGTAACGGTCCCTTGTCAGCAGTGACGAGTGTTGGGCCTGCAGGGTACGTGGAAAGGGTTTTTGAACCAGAATTTCCAAGTTTTGATGGAAGTCATTACTATGTAAAAGTTATTTACTTAGTAGCTTATCTATTTTACTACACAAAAAAATTTTGGACCCACGACTTGAATCTTGGCTGTGACCTTGGTCACTTAATCTGTGACACCTATTCCCTCGACTCAAAATAATAAAATTGAATTAGTAATTGTAGCTGTTTTATAGCGTTCTGAGAAGTAAAGTAATATAAAATAGCTTGTTTTTTGTTTTTGTTTTTATGTGCCGTATCAGGGATCGAACCCAGGACCTTGTGCTTGCAAAGGCAGGTGCGGTGCTGCTGAGCTAAATCCCCGACCCTTAAAATAGTATAGTTCTTATGTTCTTATACATTCAAATGATTTTTTTGACAATAATGTGGGCTCATGAATTTCTTTTACGGTTAAGTAGAATACAGGTTTCTTTTGAAATGAAACAATTAATGTAGTATGTCTAATTACACTTTTACTAATGTTAATATAGAAGTGAATGTACACAAGAGACTAAAATTATGAACCGTGTCATGTACCCATCTAGCGCTCAGCTCGAAGATTGTTAAAGTTCGCTGTTTCTTGTTTCATCTTCTTCCGCAGCATCCAGTTTTTTGTTTGTTTGTTTGTTTTAGCTGGAGTATTTTCAGGCTAATCCTAGAAAATATGTTGGTTTACCAGTAGATACTTCAGTATAGATCCTTTAACACATAAGGCTTTTTCTTCTGTGCATGAGCATGTGTGGATGTGGGTATTGCTAAGGTTTGAGCCCAGGACCTGTGCGCGCGCTGGGCAAGCATCTTACTACCAAACTACATCCCCAGTCCTACATAAGGCTTAACAAGAAAACTGATCACATCATTATGGTGCCACCCAGAATTAACAATAACTCCATGTCTGCAGTCCAGTAGATGTTCAGTTTTTGCTGATTATTTTTAAGTCTTAAATGCAATTTCTGAAAAACGTAATAAAATACATATTTATTTTTTAATTAGCTTACAGATTCCCAAGTGATTTCACACATATTGTTGCTCCCTTTAGAAATTTTATTATTTTAGATCCTTCATATACCTCAATAAATGGTTTGTCAGAGACACTTGAATCAGTTTGGGTAGTATGGGACTGGCTAAAGAGCTAGATGTGAATTTAGCAAACTTGCTAGTCATTTTACTTTTTTAAAAATGATAATGGTTTCAGTTTAAGAACACATTAAAACCATTGCTCCACTTGAATTTTTTTTTTTTTTTTTGTACTGGGGATTGAATATAGGGTCTTCAGAGTGAGTTACACCCTAAGCCCTTTTTAAATTTTGAGACAAGATCTTCCTTCACCTCCCAGAGTGCTAGGATTACAGGCATGCCACTTGAATTTCTTTATAGCCTATTGCCTCTTTTTTAGGGTTTATATAAGTAATAAATGTAAATAAATTACTCACCTATATTCTGAAAGAGATACAAAGTAGCTTTACTTGAATCACCTTGTATTTGTATTGATCTTTGCTGTGTCTTGTGTCTTACTGCTTTCTGTTCTCAAAGATATACAGGTCCTTGTGTTAATATGTTAATCATCTGTCTTGCATTTCTGTACTGTTTGTACATATATAGATGTTTGTGCATGCTTGTTAAGGAATATTTCAGAATGTTTTCCAGTTTCTGATTTAGTGTAGTGTGGTACCCCGATTCACTGCTTAAAAAGCAGTGAATTTTTTTTATTTGTACATGATTGCATTCAACATGGGGAATAGGTACATGTACATTTACATGTATTAATTCTTTTTGTGTATTTCCCCTTTCCCTCCTCTCATTACCCCCTCCTCTTGAGGATAAATCAATATTGATTGTTAATGATTACAAACTTTTCAATGTAAGACTGCTTTCGGTTTAACATACTTTAGTCAATTAACTCTTTTTAGATGGAATAAGAGAAAATTTTGCCTTATGGCCAAATAACTGAAATCAGAACTTTTCTCATCATTATGTTCCTCTTTCTTCACTCCCCAACCCCTTCCAAATTCTCAAAATGATTGATTGTGGGTAAATCCAACTTGGAAACAGCAGGGCTATGTTTCATCCTCACTTTAAATTACATAACTGAAAATTTATTAGTATTGCAATCTGTCATTTCAGGTATTTCAGCCATCCAAAAACAACTTCACATTTATATAATGTAACAGAAAAGCTCTGAAAACATTAAGCAAATAAAAGTGTGGAGCCTATTAAAGAAGATGAACGTCTCTGGAAGTGGCTGTGGAAGCCCTAGTTCTGCAGATATATCTAATGATTTTAAGGAACTTTGGACCAAGCTGAAAGAGTATCATGATAAAGAAGTGCAAGGTAAACACTTCTTAAAGCAAGCACTGTTTTGTTTAGACTATAATAGTATTAATTAACTTTGACTTTTTTATGTATTTGTAGAAGGAAGGAATAACTTTAGGTTCAAATATCTCCCTTTAAGAATGTTTTTGTGATGCTACTGGAAATTGAACTTTGGGGATGCTACCATTGAGCTATATTTCCACTCCTTTTTTTCTTTTTAAATTTTGAGAAAGGGTCTCAAAATTGCCCAGACTGGCCTTGAACCCTTGATCTTCCAGCCTTACAAAAAGTGTAATTACAGATGTGTGCCATCGTGCCTGGATAAATATTTGATCTTAAAGGGGCATTTACTATTGTAACATTTTGTGATTAATTTTTATGGGTGAATTTTTACTTTCTAACTGTGCATATATACAGGACATGGTTCTTACAACTTAAAATTATTTGAGGTAACATAAACAATAAGTCCCCAGTTTACAAACAGGTTTCATTCTGGGAGAACATTCCTAAGTAGGATACATTCATAAGTGCAACATAGTAAATCTTAATACACCTTTGACACAAATACACAATGTAAAACGAACTAAACACACACAAAAATTAAATCCCCGAGTGTACTGTACTACTATACACTATTGCTCTGTACAGTAAGTGCATGAAAGTACAACTGTGACAGTGTCCAGCAGATGTGAGTTACCTTCTCATCTATGAATGTTTGTAGAGAGAGATCTATTTGCCCATTCATAACTATGAAAGTTCACACCTTAAATGTTCGTAAGTCAGGGACTTACTGTAATGAGGTGGTGAAAAGTAGAATTTATTGACTGAAGACAGGATTCAAATGCTAACATTTGTCTACACGCTCTGTGATTGCAGCCAAATCACATAACCTCAAAACTTAATTTTCTGTTGTAAAATTATTTTCAAGATTGTTTATAGGTATAAAAATGCCATTTAAATCATTTGTCAAACCTTTGGGAATCTGCTGCTAAGCACTCAGGTGTAAAGTGAATGGCAGTTTACTTTCAAAGATGTTGCAGTCTAGTAGAGACAGCTATGGAAACATAATTACAGTACAGTGAAATGAGAGCTAAAAAGGTTTAGAAGTACTGAGTGTACAGAAGATTAATTGTGGTCGGAATGAGTATGTAAGTATTATTTGTGTTAAAATGTACTTTGCTCCTTTATAGGAACTTTCTATTAAAGTTAAGCCCAAGGTTTGATACTAAGTTTCAATATACTTTAATTCTGGAACTTTAGTGTTTAGTATACTTTTTCTGTGTAGGGATAATGCTTTATTTTGCAGTTGTTTCTTGATCACACCCATGGTTTACACTGTAGTGCTATATAGCTTTAGCATTACAGTGGGGTACCATTACAACATCCACCTGAATCTAAGGTGCAGTATATGTAGAGCTGTATTGGAATTTTATCATGATAAATTTAGTTCTTGGAAGAACTTTATTACAATAGCTTCATTGTTAATTAATGGATTCTGAAATATGAACCACAAAAGTAATCTTGCATGTCATGGTGTATTTTGAGACACTTTTTCAAGAAATATATGTTGGGTACTTAAAGTGTGCCAGACCTGGGCTGGGGATTTGGCTCAGTGATTCCGCCTCCTACCTCGCAAGGGCCCAAGTTCAATCCCTGGTACCAATAAATAAATAAATAAAGTATGCCAGACCTTGTAAATAAGAATGAATCACATAGAAGCCCTACGTTTAAGGATTTTTGTTTTGTTTGGTTTTAAGTTTGGTTTTTTAAAGAAACTAAGGCTATGTAGCCCAGGGTAGCCTCCAGGTCATGATCCTCCTATCTCAGCCTCCCAAGTGCTGGGACTACAGGCAATTTACCACATTACCCCACTGGGGATTTTTAATCTAGAATTTTCTCTATATCATTCCAATTTTAGTATATGTGCTGCCTAAGCGAGTACTTTAATCTAGATTTTTTAATGCAGAATACCATATTATCCGGGAACTTAAAGAACCAGAAGTGTAGATATGTCTGTGATTTACTATCAGACCAGATTTACAGTTGGGTAAGTCTAATTAGCTAGGCAAATAAAGATGGGGAAGAGGAAAGAATTTTCAGAGTAGATAGAACATCATAGGCAAAAATTTGGAGATAGAGCCTAATTTTATTCAAGGAATAAATTATAAACAGTTTGATAAAGTAAAAAGTAAACAGTAAAAAATACCCCCTCAACACAAATAAGTAACTCCTTTTTAATTATTTTTGGGTGTTTATTCCAAAGTTTTCCAAAGTATGAATGTATTTTTTATTTAATTTTTTTAAAGGAAAATTTACACAAAGAAAAAGTAAAGATTGTGTTTCTTGATAACAATTCAATAAGCTACATGTACTTTTTTAGAAATGGAAAGAAATAGTTCCCCAACTTTTATTAATGAGTGTGAGCATCTTCCTTTTGATTTTAATTCTGTGACTCTAGTATGTAGGTTTACTGAAAAAGAACGGCTTCAAGTTTAAGATGATAAGATGATAAAGAGACTTACTTCTATTTACTATGAAAATATTTTTGTGATCTAGAAATGAAACAAATACAAGTTTGTAATAATTTAAATAGGATAGATGTACTTCAGTTTTCATTAAACCTTTATTATAGAGCTATAGCATTGTCATCATTAAGCATAATGTTAAATTCTTTATCCTTCAAGTAATTACTTTCTGTGCTAACTGGTTTTAAGATCTTTATTATGCATATTCCTTATCTTACACATCATTATAGCTCTCTGGGTAAAAGTGCTTGGCACATAGTAAAAAATCTCTATCTAAATGAATTACAGTTTGTAGCAAGATCCATAGAATATTTTCTTGAACTTCAGTTTGTAAAAACTCATAATATATGAAAATTTCAAATTTTGTACCCAAGACCCTGAAACATATACTGTAATGTAATTTTTAGATAATATTCTATAAAGTTAGGAAAAGCACGCTAAGTCACTACTCTACAAAAAAATGACTTTTTTTTTCCTCACTGCTGGGGATGGAACCCAAGACCTTGCATATAACTAGGCAAGCATTCCATTACTGAACTACACTCCCAGTTCCTTCTTTCTGAATATTAAAAGAACTGCACGTAGGTTGCTATATTGTGGTCATTGTACATACTGATTTATATCTTATTTTGCTATTATTTAAACTTCTGACTTTCTCATGTTATACGTAACTGTCACTTTAGAACTTTTATACATATCTTGCTGTGGTTGTCCATAACTGTACCCCAAAAGTCCACAGATAAAGCGGTTAGTCCTTGGGTACTGCTCTTGGGAAGTGGTGGAACCTTTGGAGATAGGCTATAGTTGCAGATCTTTGGGTCATTGAGGGGTTGGTCTCAAAGTGGATTGTGGGACTCCAACCCCTTCTTTTTCTTCCTGGCCATGAGTTAAGCAGTTTGCTCTGCCATGTATTATTTGCCATTCCTGACTTGTGCACCAGTGGTGCAGAGCAATGGGTACATTTGACTTTGGACCAGAGCCTCCAAAACTGTGCCAGCATCAGTCTTTTCTCCTTGCAAGTTAATTGTCTCAGATACTTTGTAAAGTTCTAATTTTTAGTTTTTAACAAGAAACTTCTATATTTTATGAAGTGGCAAGAAAATAAACTATATGTTTATATATATATATTTATAATGTTAAATTCTTTATCCTTCAAGTAATTACTTTCTGTGCTAACTGTGCCATTTATATATACGTGTGTGTGTGTGTGTGTGTGTGTGTGTATAAATGTTTGTTGTTGTTTTTTTTTTAATTGCCCTCTTCTGTCCTACCCCATGCTGGGGATTGAACCCAGGGCCTCATGCCTGCTGGGAAAGTGCTTCAGCACTGAGCTGCATCCCTAAGCCTGTTTGTTGTTTTTAAAATAGGGGATTGAAGCCAAGGCCTTGTGCATGCCAAGCAAATGCTCTGCCATTGAACTTTAACCCAGGCACACCTCCAACCCTGTTTTTAAAAATTTTATTGTGAATTAGGAGGATCTTGTTAATTGTCCAAGGTGCTATTGAATTTGTAGTCCTCTTGCCTTAGCCTCTGAGGAGCTGGGATTACAGACAGGTAATGTGATCACTGTACCTAGCCAGTATGCTCTTTAATAAGAACAGTATGCCATATTAATCCGATTATGGAATCTAACAAGTATTACATAGTAGATAATTTTTTTTTTTTACATTGTGTGCTCCTTGTGGTTACACTCCAATAGTCATCCTGCTCTGAGGAAAGTTAACATACTCTAAAAAAGTAGAAAGGTGGAATATGTTGTTGGTATATATGGTTACTATCTATGTTTTTTATGAATTGTAGGTATTGGATATATGTTTAAGATGATAAGAGGGTACAAACAACTTTGCCCAATTCCAAATTGTTCACAGATTCTGAAACTATTAAATGAATAATAAAAATTAATATGTCATTTTAAACCATTTTGGTTTTAAGTCACTGCAAATTTACATAATGTGAGGAGTTTTAAACATTAGTCTTCTGTCTGTGTTCCATAGAGTTCCATTTAAAGTTAGATCCTCTGACTGATAACATCAAAGATATGCCTTGGAGTGATTTTTTTTTTTTTAAGAAGGTAGGGAATCCACTTGGAAAAACCAGTATAATAGGCTATTTGCAAGACATCAAACATGGACTTGTCTGGACATTGCAGGTTTTGAAGTATCTATAGGAATCAAAATTGACTCATTACTTTCAAAGCCTCATATTAGTAAAAAGGAGAAATATTATGAATGCTAGTACTTGAGATACTAGATTAATAAAATCTACACTTAAGAACTTACATACATCTGCTATGTGTAGAGTTTAGGAGAGAGTTTACCTCATTTGACCAAGACATAATAAAATGATACCAAATATGCCAAACATAGCACAATATGTACACTGATTACAATGCCGTAAGGTAAATGTGTTTCTTTTAAAACTAGGAGAGAATAAACAAAGTCTCCCAGCTTCTGTTGAAGAACAGCAGGATGGAAACCAAATCATTTTGGGGGG